CGGGTGCGAGCCAGGGACGCAGAGGCGTGGGGAGGACTTTGTGTGAAGTCAGCAGACCGAAGTGAAAGAGTGGCATTGAACTGCGGTGCCCGTGGAAGTAGGCAACGGGGGAAAAGTTCCAGTTTCAAGTTTCATCATTGCAGGGTACTGTGAAAAAAGCAGAAGCTGACATTTTACAGCTTTTTGTTTTTTTTTTTGAAAGGGGCGCCCCTCTCTCACAAGATGGCACATTCCTAGCCCGCCCAAGGGGATTCTCCCGGAGCCCCACCTCTTAGTTTAGGTCCCGCTCCTTTTAAAAGTGTGGTAAGTGAAACCTCGTTCTGCGGACGTTGTTCGACATTTGAAGTCATTCTTTTTTTTTCTTTTTAGGGTTTAGTTCATGCCACTGCTTGCGCTTACATTTTCTGTTGTGGTCCTCACGACAGCCTAGAGAGGGGGAGCCGGGACAGTTCTCGCATTTTGCAGCCTAAAGGTTGGTTAGAACCCGAGCTGGGACTTGAACCCAAGGCTGCAGGTGTAAAGTCACTGCGATTTTCCAGAGCATCCTCTGCACCTGAACTGGTTCCATTCACAAATAGAAAACGGGCTGAGTTGTCAATGTACATGTAACTAACGGGAGGAATGCATTCCATACATCTTGGGAATCTATAGACCAAATTGTCCTTTGATATAAATCATCAATGCCATGTGTGTTCTTGCTGCTTAAAGTGTAGCAGAGGTACCAGCAGCAGCCACATCACCTGGCATCTTGATAGAAATGTAGACTGCCCAGTCTCATCTGAGGCTGAACCAGAACCTGCATTTTAACAAGACCTCCCCGCAATGTTTGAGAAGCACTCATTGAAATAGAAAAGCCCATGTGTTTTCTATTTGAATTTCTCATTCTAGGTAAATGAGACTAACATGTCTTGTTTCCTGGATTCTACCCATCTTTTCAATAAAAGTGTTTTCTAAAATCCCTAACAAGTTCCTTGTAGCAAAACAAGTTCTTCTCAGTTCTCAGAGTTATCTTTCTTTCTGCTAACTATCCTTAAAATGCTGTTCCCTTGTTTTTATTTTATTTTATTTTATTTTATTTTTATTTATTTTTTAATTTTTTATTTGTTTTTTTTGCTAAAAGTATTACAAAGGGTATTACATATGTGTCCTTTTTTCCCCCCCGCCCCTGACAATCCCCTGCCCTCCCCTCCTTGTTTTTATTTTAAAGGCAACATACTGAGGTATAATTTAGAGAAATAAAAATTTCTCATT